AAATTACGTCAGAATACGTCTACCGTTTTTATAAACAAACATACCAAATTTTAAAAAAATCGGAATTAGGGTTCTCCAGATATTAGTAAAAACCTTGTATTTTCTCTAAATTTCAACACCCTGTATCTCCGAAACGAAGCATTTTCGGACATAGGTTTATAGGAACTTTCTTTCTTATTTTTGGTCAAGGAAACCCCCCTGAATTTTTTAGCATTATTAATGGGACACCCTGTATATCTTTGCAATAACCACGTGGCTTAGGAGCAAACAACTTCCACTAACTTCTTTCTTAGCTCACTATGTATCGTACAGGGCTTGAAGGGTTGTCGGACTCACCCTATACGGACGTGAGGGTTGCTTTATTGGCTCTTGTTAGTTGTCGCACTTTAAATTAGTTCGTGATGACCTGTCCGAAGGTGTGGTTCGAGGTCTGAGCATTTCGCAACTCCTGATAGAGTCACATGCCGTTGTACATAAATTCTAGTGATGTTCGGTTATGCGTCTGAATGGAGGCGGTTCCAACCCTACTACAGGTGGTTGTTTTCCCCTTTTGCAAATTCGGTAGTTTAGTTTTACACCTTAGTTAAACCTTTAAAAGTGTTAGTTTTGAAATGTTATCGGAAATAGTTTATTTTAAAGAAATAAATGCTTTAACCTTCAAAGTAGTCGGCATTGAGATTTTCCTTATTGCATAATCGATAAGCTATTACGAATACAATAAGTGAGATGTCCGTGTGAGAAAATTTATGGCGATCAACATTATTTGTTAAATTACTTTCAATTGTTCAATTCACATATGTTTAAGTTGTTAGTTTATAAAAAACATGTTTTTTATTTTACGTTGTGTATCAGTTTAAAATGTATATTGAGATCGAAAAGTGGGGTACAAATTCAGTATCTGAAGTAAAAAATGAAGTATCATTTATCTTGATAGTTTTACCTTTTTTATGAATGGAATATCCTGTGCTCTTAACATGTATGACAAAATAAGTCGGGATTCAGTAAGGAAAATATAATGATGCAAGGCTCGATAGCTCTCCAGATCACTTTTTTCATTGTACTTAAAAAAAATGGCGATTGAATTTAAGGTTAATTAATTTCAAAGTAGTCACATAGATTGCACCAAACGTCATTTGTGTTTCGAAATATCAGTTTTAATTCAGAAATTATAAAAAAAGTCTTTCATATTTTCGTGCAGGTCATATTTCAGGAAATAGGTATAAATTTATTTCAGAATTGATGAAATGTATTAAAAAAAAGACGATTAGATTTTAGAAATAGTAACCAAAGAACATTAAAATTAATTTCATTGTTTCATTATTATAGCTTACATGCTCTGAAAACAATTTAAGGTTTTCCGAAACAAATTTATATTTTCTGATTCTATAAACATTGGTCCTCCAGAGCACCGTTACTGAGATATGGCCCTCCAAAGGGGTCTTATCATTTGGATATTTTTAAAAATACCTTTCTTTCTTATTAAGCCAATGGAATGAAAATTGTAGGTAATAATCATACCATAAGGGTCTTTAACTATCACAAGTTTCATCAAAATCGGTTATAAATAAGGATAGTTTTCTAACTACCCTTAACAGAAATTTATGGTTGTAAAAAAATCGAATGAAATGCAAAATCAAGCACAAAGATCACAACTAAGAAACGTAAGGATTTAAATGATAGTACGCGAAAGTGACAATCATTAGTATCATTACAACGAAAATGTGCTACTATGTGAATATGTTAAATAAAAGTTACTGTTCTGAGCCGTACATTATTTAAAAAATATTTTTTTTCTGACTAAACTACGCAGAATTCGAAAAAAAGTAGTATGAAGTTATGCTCTACGAGTTTTATTTTCCAAGCTACAGGGCGCTAAAAAATTTAAAAAAATTTAGTTTTTCTCCAATAACTTTCGAACATTATAAGATAATGGAACGAAATTTTAGCCTTAGCTTAATTTGATAATCCCCTAGTAACAGGAAAAATATTGACTTCGTAAGTTACTAATTGGCGTGCGTACGGATTGTACCGTAAGGTTTTTCGAAGAAAATTGTGGTACGCTACTAGTAAAAATATTCTTTTAATATTTTTGTATGATCCACTTTTTATTTTAAACAAAATTACCCTCTTGTGTTTTATTCCCAGCTCTTGTAATTTTTCCGTAAATAAAACTTTTGTAAATACCATTTTTCCCACTGCTAACAACGGAAAAGAAAAATAACAAAAACATTATGAAGAATGCTTTGACTCAGCTACCGAACATGTTGAAATAGGCTTTGAAAAAAGACTTTTGCATTGAAAACGATATTAAAAACTAAATTTTTTGATTTTTTTTTAGCGCCCTGCAGATTGGAAAAGATAACCCATAGAGGGTTACTTTATATGACAAATATTTATTTTTTTAAATAAAAAATCCACCGTTTAATTTATTCCCAACTTTTACGTTACACCCTGTATATTATTTTAATACCTACTAACTTACTACAGTAATACGAAAAAAACATTTTTAGAACCGCTGACTCCACCAATAGCTTGGCTGGCTAGTTTACGCACACCGCTGTACAGGCTGGTCCATTTTCGATGGGATTTCAGGGTATCTCAGACACTACTAAAGATATGATAAATCTGACACCATGTTCTCGAGCTCGATTTTCATGGCAAACTCGACTGTCAAATCAGAAATTTGCTATCTTCATTTGTTTCTGAGTTACAAGGTGTTTCTCGTTATTGTGACACTTTTGGACATGTCTGTATCTCAGCTGTTAAATAAGTTAGAGTTAAAGTAAACACTGCTCAGGACTATTTTTTTGGCGTAGAATTGAATGCTGGTATTAGACTTTTAGTAGGTCTTAAGATTCCGGAGTTATGACCCAAAGTTATAATTTTTTAAATGGAAATCGTAGCTGGTTATAACCTAAAAAAATGGGGATTTTTGTTTGCTTTTCAGCAATATATCACATGCTTTAATTATTTTTCCAAACACAGAAGATACGGGGTGTTTTATATATAAATTCGATCCTTTTTTACATTTTAATATGGCTGGCTATAAAAATACATGCAAAACTATAATTCTTACTTTTACAAAACTCATATCTGTTGTAAAAATATGACGTTTATATAAAATTATATAAAATATATATTACAGATAAGAAAAGACAGAGTTTTCAAATTTTTATTCCACTTCAAATGAAGCTACAATATTAAACGTAAATTAAACAATAGTAAGTACCTACATGAATAAAAACTTTTAAAAATGACAGCTAAATGTTCAAATTGCCGTCCCTCAACTGTCACACATTTCACGCATTTACTGGCAACGCTTCGGGTAGCATTCATTAAATGTATAGGTATTTGAAATATTATTAAAAGGAATTTTGAATATAATGTCTTTTAGAACACCCCAAAGGAAAAAGTCCAACGGACTCAAGCCAGGTAACCTAGCTGGCCATCTGATCGGTCCGTTTGTTCCTATCCACCTATCTCCTTAAATTTCGTTAGTATTATATTATCACACGAGTATATGTTGTGCATTTAAAATAAATGTTATATTTTTACAACAGATATGACTTTTGTAAAAGTAAGAATTATAGTTTTATCTGTATTTTCATAGCCGGTCATACTAAAAAGGAAAAAAAATATAATTTATATATAAAACACCCCGTACCTCCCGTGTTTGTAAAAATAACTATAGCATATGATATATTGCTGAAAAGCGGAAAAAAATCTCTATTTTTTTAGGCCATGGTCAGCTACGATTTCCATTTAAAAAAATATTACTTTGGGTCATAACTCCGAAATCTTAAGATATACTAAAAATCTAATACCGGCATTCAATTCTACGCCAAAGAATTAGTCTTGAGCAGTTTTCACTTTAACTCTAACTTATTTAACAGCTGAGATACAGACATGTTAAAAAGTGTCACAATAACGAGAAACGCCCTGTAACTTAGAAACAAATGAAGATAGCAAATTTCCGATCTGACAGTCGAGTTTGCCATGAAAATCGAGCTCGAGAACGTGGTGTCAGATTTATCATATCTTTAGTAGTTTCTGAAATACCCTGAATTCCCATCGAAAATGGACCAGCCTGTACATAAATATTTGCAGTTAACTCACATTCTCATTGTGGCTCAATATGTTACAACCATGCCTATTAATTCATTGTTACTGCGTTGATGAGCTATTTTTGTAAGTTTATTCGCACTTATTAACACACACACCTCAAACAGACTGTCTGTCCACAGAAATAAAACAGTTAAAAGTAAGAAGAAAAATTCTCTGCCTGAAACTTAATTAATAATAAACACTTTTTCAATATGAAAACTGCAGCCAACCTGATGATAACTTGAAATTGAACTGGCAATTTTTTTCTCTTTACTACAAAGAACGAGAAAAAAAATCGGATGGCGCTCTATGTGCGGTTACAACTATTGAGCTCTTTTTATGTAGTATGTAAGTAAGGGACGATCCCAGAGGTTCTCAATAAGTTTTAACAATTCTAATTATTAATTAATTTCAACTGTTTTTACTAATGCGATTTACTTACCATCCTCCCCAAGTTTGTATGTGGTAATTTAATTCTTTCCTAAAATACCACCAGTATAATCAGCTGTAAAATTTAAAATTGAATGAAGACTAAATATTTATAATTACAAATTTATTTAAGTACCAGTGGCTGAAATTAAGTGCCGCATTAAATTATATCGGTGTATTTTTGACGTACCGTTAAATAAAAATGCAATTCCATCAGCGGTTTATGGTTATGCTTCTGCCTCTAAAAAATAACTAAGATTAACAAGGTATATAATAAATTCTATAAATATCACAAAACAGGTTCAGAGCCACATTATTTAGGTATTTCTACTGTGCATACTTTGTCTGTTTATGCAGTATAAAACGTTTCTCTTCCTGGCACATTTTTTAGACGCACGAATATATGTTACAGGGAAAAGTTTATCTAATAACTACCGGCAATTTGAAATTTTTTTTATTCGTTTCAGAGTTTTAGAAGACAGGCGTAGTCACTATGAGCCTTCCGTGCCAGGGGCGGTCGAAGTTGATGAACTCGACGATCATGACCTTTACGTACCCCATTTTCAAAGAGTTTCCATATCTGGAGAAGATACCAGTGGGGTAAGACAATTACATTTTTGTTTCTTGTAAAGCCTCTAATATATAGATTACGTAGTAATATTGCATTTATTAAGAACTTATTGGCATTTAAGTTCAATCAATTAACTTTCTATTAAACGACTGCAATACTGTTTTAAAATGAGAAAAGAAAAACAAAAAACCTTAAGTTAATAATAAAGTTTTTGCGTGTATTAGCATTTGTAAAATCATAAAGTTGAAGCACAAAAAAAAAACAGCATTACTGTTTACTGTAAAATGAACTTTGCACTTTCATATAGCAGAAATCGTAATAATTTATTAGAGAAGAAGAGTCTACAAGTCATTTTTAATTTCATTTATATTTTCATAAGCATAATTTTCTTTATTTATCTTTTAATTATTATTTTTACTATTTTGATATGATTTGGTACATACAGTGATTCAAAGCTTATTAAAAAAAATTTAGGATGTACTGGGGACTCTTACAAAAATACAATTTTGTAAAGAAAAAATCAAAAAGGTCAGTTCGAAAATAATTTAAAAATACACCTCTGCACGGCACTGGAAACTGGTCCACTGTAAAACCTGACCTCGCACAATGCGACCTTCATGACGGCAAAGTTTGATAAAAACGGACCAGAATTTCGCAAGAAAAGAAATAAATTAAATTTTATAGCACCTATTTTATATCGGCAAATTCAACTGCTTTTGCCGCCATTGTTATTATTAATTAATTTAATTAATTTGTGGTTTTACTTAATAAAATAATTTGACAAATCTGATGTTACAATCACTGTTTGATACTAACACTAAAAAACTATTGTAAACACAATCGCAACGACGATTATAAAATCGGATTTGAGTATTGAGAGTCGATGAGGTCACGTGGCTCTCCGCGCGTATTACGTAATGGTTGAAAGTACTCAATAATTTTTTTCTCGGAATCTAAGGATTTTACAATTTTTTTTTTACGATATTGACTCCATTTCTCATACCGCGTCTATTCCTAATTTTTTTTGAATAAGTTGTGAATCGCCCCGTATATATTGTGACGTATAACTTTTGGTGTAATTTTATTAACATGTTCAAACAATGGTTACACAAATACAAATGCAAAAAGAAACCTTAAAATCTGAAGTCCCACAAGAGATTGCTCAATCCTTTGATCTTATAAGGAGTTACATGCGATGATGTTATTTATGTACAAATTTTTCCATACTTATTCAGATGCATGGTGTATATCACAACTGAATGTTTAGATATTGCGAAATTACGTATTGCGAAATTTCTTCATCACTTACGTCTGCGATAAAATATATTGCTTTCAGTATTGTGGTTGTCGTCAACAGAACTTGTTATTTTTCATTAATCAATAATTGTATAAGACTTGTTTTCGTTTTGATATGTTTTTATCGTTGCTATATTTAATCTTATAAAAATATGAATAAAAAACTGTTAGCTGCTATGAACATACACCATGAAATTAATTTCCACGCAAAGAGTAAAAATATTCTGTTTTTGACGTAAATTGTGAAAAAGGTATATTTAAATGAAGGAGCACAAATGCTATCAATGTTAAGGCAAAAATATGATAATTGTATCGAAATGAAAATTTACAACTCCGTTCCTAGTAAAACAAGATTCGTCGGTACAAAAAAATTTTTGAAGCAAATACAGTCCTGTAAATATTGCCATTTTTCTCAAGAATGGCTTTCTGTAGGCGATTTTTTCAAGAGACAATATTTTTTTTAACGACACAACGGGCCCGAACAACATTATTAATTAATTTATTGACACGCGACAGCGTACCGAGATTCAGGGAATCCTCGATCCGTAGTAAAATTTGGAATGACTTTATCCATTATTAAATTAACCCGAGCCTCTAAAACTAAGTAGACTGCTCAATGTGAAACCCACGGAAGAACTACCTTTTTTTCGTAGATCTCTCCTGAATTCGACACTTCGCTTCGACACGCCCATTTCTTGGGTCCAGAAGTTTCTGTTCTTATCTTACTGGCCGGAATATCGGGACGCTTTGCCATGTTAATCTAGTTGTCCAAGTTGTCTAATGGATTGAATTTACATTTGTCTAAATAATTTTGAGACTAAACTTACAAACAACCCTATACCTTCCTCTTATGACTAGCAATAGCAATACGGGATGGATTAGTCCATCTCATTTAATCTATTCTTATAGCTTGGAAAATCCGCCTAAAAACCAGCTATTTGAACTATTATTATTTTCCTGACAACATTCTAACAACTTATTCTTGGAATGCATTTCTCGTGTTATTGGAAATATCGATTTTCCTGTTTATACCAGATGCTCAACACATGGCCCCGACAGTCTAAGTTAACTTGTTAAAAAATATTGCTAAATTTCTCCGAAGGACAACGCTAAACCTACTTGAGAGCCCTCAACTTTTCGATAACTAGTGTTGACTGAAATATTTTACTTTTTGGCCCATCCGTTCCGAGAACTAAGAAATAAATTACTACGCATCCCGGCTTTTGTTACACGCCATAATAGTCCAAATAAATGTGCCAAATTTTAACGCGATCGGTAATTAAAAGGGTTATGAAGTTATTAATTAAATTAGTTTTATTTTTAACAACTTTGAAGGCTGAAAACACAAAAACCAAACAATTTTTATTTAACTTTTTTTTCGTAGATCGTTTTTATTTATCAAGTCAAACTCTGTATATGAACACCCGATAGCTCATAAATAAAGCAGCGTTGGACTAAGGCTTCGACATTATCTGAAAGCATTTGTGCTCTTTCATTTAAATACGCCCTGTATAACACTGACCCTGAAATGATGAGTTAAAGTGACACATTGTACGTCAAACTTAATATAATAGACAGGTTGTTCAACCGAAATTGATTTTAGAAAAATACAGTCTTCAATCAATGGCGGAGGCTTTAAATATTACATGCACTCGACCAAGTGGCCAACTATCACCCTATGAATGTATTTCAAGGAAACAATTTATTATGGTAAATTCTGTAACATTAATAGTCTATATGTAATTGAACAGTGATTATCGCATTTATTTAATTTTTGCCAAGTTCTAAAAACTACACGAAATTTGTAGGTACCACTTGAGGACCTTGAAAGGGCCTCAAAACTCATTATTCAGGCCCTGGAGATTAGGAAGAAGTACATGAAAATGTCATATCAAACCTTCTCCTCGTCGGCTGCCAGATTCTTAGATCCCAACAAGGAACAACAACATCACGATGAAAAACAGTCGATTGAAGGTAATGAGGATTTTACTTTTTGATTTCTCGTTTAATTTTGATATCAAAAAAGTCTCAGGTGGACTGGTTGCGTGAAAGGGTAACTAATACAGTACATTTATTTTCATTCCCTGTGCCCTTTCCTCTATTTATTTTGTAAATAATAAAATTTATTTTCGTATTTAAGGATATACAGAGTGTTGCAGAAAAGAATGCAATAATTTTAGATGGTGATAGAGTATAAGAAAATAATATCGATTTTTTCTATGATCTGCGGGGCTATCGACTTTTTCTTTTTTGAGACACATGTTAGCAATATATTTTCTCAAGAAATGTTTTGAGTTTTTGAGTGTTATTAACACGTCAGTATTATTAGTTTTTGACTATCTATTAAAGGGCGCTAACTATCTCTTTCAATGACATTTTATGACAACATTTTTGAGGTTATGTTTTTAAGAATTACAGTATAAAATATCATTTTGCACAAAATCGCTGAAAGCGCATCGTTCTTGAGAAAAATTATTGACTATCCCAAAGGCCTATATTTTGTTGTTAAGACAAGTTAATAATATATTTAATAACCTCAAGGCTTCGAAAATAAATAAAAAAAAACTAATTTGGATCAGTTTACTTTAGTGCAATTTATTCTTTCTTAAAATCTTACGAGTCTTCAAAAAAATGAAAAGAAAATCCCTTTTTGAAGACTTGTAAGCAAGATTGCACCAGAGTAACATGATCTAAATCGGTCAACTTTTATCCAAGATTACCTTTGATGTATCGCCCATTCGTTTTTGGATATCTTCTAATTTAAGGAATTCTCAAAAAACGGTGCGTTTTCGGTAATTTTTACAAAACTACAATTTTTATATAATTAAGTTTTACATTGTTATACAAAACTTACACTGGGACAGATAGTAGCTAGCAACATCTAGCAGATGGTCAAATACTAATATCTGCCACTGATGTATTTAGCACCTAAAAATCTTACTTACTTTCTGGCAAAGATACGACTAAAATATGATTCTAAATCATCTTTGAGCCCTATATTAAAAAACAAAAGACGATATGCCCATGGTTCATAGGAAAAATCGTATTATTTTTCGTATTTTATCACTATCCCAATTTTTTGCACTCATTTCCGAGACATCCTGTGTAATGTGTGTTTTTAAATTAATCTCCATGGTTTAAAGACATCAGTACTTCCTAAATAACTACCTGGTATAACAGCGACCCTACGACAAACCTTTAGGACTCTCTTTGATAAAATTCAGTTACTTCATAGTATCTACCTACATGTAATATTTGATCAAAAGTGGTGGCGAAGTTAGAAGGTAGCGACTTGAAAGAGAATCTTTATTTGTAATTTTGAATAGATCATTTCCAAATAAAACTTTTGAGTCTTTAAATTTTGTTTGTTTCGTAAAATTCACCGGTGAAATTGGAGCTAAAGGATTTACTCATATTTATGATCTATTGCTTAACATCTAAGCTGCTCATTCTGCTAAACCAGAAACCAGACTTTACTTTCCCGAAGGTTGTCCGTTCTCAGAGAATTGCACCATTGCATCATATTTTAGAGATATCCTAACCTAAAAGTGCGAAGAATGCGGTTTTTTGCTATATTTGAGTTTTTTTCCCCACAAAACTCGACAGGGCATCTAAAACTACTACTCTTCTACTTTAAAATCCAGTTTGGATCTTTCGATTATCTCTTCTCTCTCTTTTCGTCTCCAATAAATCCTTTTCTTCGGCATGAGGACTGAATGATAAATATTTTGAAAATTCCTTGATTTTTTTTCCCAAAAAAACCGTGAATTGAACATTTACATATATTTTTTTGTGTATCTAAATTTGAATTTTGTAATTCTGACTTAAGATTCGTAATCAGCGACCCCAAAAACCTGAAAAACCAATGGAAATTTAGGTGTCTATAATTTGATGCTTCTCTCTTTTTATCTTCGCCTCTGATACTAGTCAATTTTCGAAGATCGACAAGTACGCCAAACCAGTTGTTTTCAACATACAATTTATCGGAGAGGAAAGAACAATTTTAAATGGATTTTGAAGATGTGTGGCACATTTAGATGCCATATTGAGTTTTGTGTAGACAAATTACCTTGTGATATAACATAGCTTCAAAAAAACCTTGTTTTTCATTTGTTACATGTTAAATGTCATTGTAGTAGCAATGACCACAAAGCATAAACTATATATATTTTGTGGCGATGGCATATAAAAATATGTTCACCAAACCTCACACTGTGAGAAATGTGTTTACAAATTGATTTACGAGAATATTATTTTTCTTATTTGTTTTGAAGAGAGGAATCACTAGTTGAAAGTTTGTCGCCACCTTGCTGATATATCCTGCATAGTAAATATGATCCTGTAAATAAATAAAAAATATATAGATTTATTCTGAGTTAATTTAAAAGGTGTCTTAAATTGAAAATAGTCGAGTTTAACATGAACTCAACTTTTCAAGCCAGATTTTCCAATAGTAGTCAAAACATTTGAGAAGTATCAGAATAACCTTGATATGTTGTCATCAAAATCTTGAGACCATATTTGACAGTTCTGTTTGAAAATTTGCTACAATAATAATAAAAAATATATAAATGTAAGACGTTTCCAGTATGTTAATTTGGTTCAATAAAATCGATATTCAGCAGTAATCTTAAAAATTTAATACAAAAACTCAATTTTGCAAAAAATTGAGTAGTATGATTTAGAAATGCTGTGGTAGGAAGTAACAGTACTTTCAAGAAAGACCCATTTCTATTTGCATGTATTGATTAGATCGAGATTATGCCGAGTTGCTGTCAAGAACTGCAAGAACTTCGTTTGACGATATTATGTTGGGAACGCTGACCAAAGATAACATCGAGAAATTGTTAGATAACGGTTTCCAAGGTAAATAGTACGTTTTTGCACAGAAACGCAGATAGTTCCTTAAAAATAGTTAGTCACATCAACAGTTACATCACTACCTCACTAGACAGGTTGACGTATTTAACTTCTTTTGCAATTTGTGTGTAAACATCGCAATACTCGTATTACAAAGCAGGGCTGTGAAGAGCTACTCTTGTATTTCATAACCATTAATACAACTACATAGTAACTAGTCATCCTAGCTACAACTTCTATTCCATGACACCTACCAGACACAGACCTTAAGTTACTGTCCACATTTTCTGTTTAACACGCATATATACATTAATATAACTTTGAGATGAGGGATCCACAGTTGAACGCGGTTCATATTGATGCTAAGTAGCGCACTGTTAATGTTTTTAGATCACGGAATTCATCCACCAATCCATAAGGCTTGGGAAGTTCCTGATGTTCCGGACACTAACCACATCCTCAAAAACAACAACGGAGTTTGGAATGTGTACCTAAATGAAGAGGATGTGAAGAATGGGAAGCCTTGCGACTACGAATATCCCGATGTCGATAGGTTCACTACCGACTTTTATAAGATGTGCAACATGATTGCGGATGGACCACTGTGAGTATATATTTTACAACAAATGCGGGTACAATTCATGGTGTAAACGACTATGCCCCATTAATGAATCAATTTTTACATCAAGCCACATATACATTTTGAGAACTGCTGTCTACAAAGAAGATAATAATTTATACATACGTGCCAACGAATTGCGAGTTTACCATGTCATATGTCAAGAAAATTATTTAGAATGAGACCTTATTAGTCTTTTAGATTCATGCAGTAGGTTAAATATGACTTTATATGCACTGTTGTGGATCCTAATTAAAAAAAGGGGCAAATATTTACGTACGCTCATAATTTCGCTTGAAAGATAAACTATACCCATATATTCATAACAAGAGTAGAACTGATTAGGTACCTAAAATTGAACAAGAAATTTTTATGTTTATAACAAAAAAACGGGACAAAAAGGGTACGGTGCGCTATCTACGGCTACTACTAACTATTCAATTATTTTTGCATAAACTTGGAGGAGATATTTATAGAGCAAATAAATGGATTTATACAAAATATTTTTTTTAACTGACTTAGGTATATGATGGAAACCATTTTAGAACCACTGAGTCCACCGATAGTTCTGCTTCTTTTACAAGTAAATTCCAATAGATATGCAGTTATCTAGCGGTTTTCATCAGCATTCCCGTACGTTATTACCATGTCTATATAACTTATTAATACACATATCTACACGTACGCTGTCCTTCACTTAAAAGTTTGTTCTCTAATAATTTTCACAATAAAAGAGACATGTTTCCATAATGAATACTAAAGTGGAACTGATGATTACTTAAAACTGTTCAATTTTTCTGTTTACTACAAAAAAAAAGAGAAAAAAGCGATTTAATTTATGGCCACGGACTATTGACGTCTTTTTATGTAGTATGTAAGTCGGGGACGATTCCAGAAGTTGTTACGTTGCACTTTTATCTTACTCATTTTTTTTTCTTTCCTAATCGCATTTTAAAGTAAATATAAATAATTACAATTCTAGTTAATTAATTCAGTTCATTAGCTCAGAGCGTTTAATAAAAAGAAAATTTTATTAAAAATGTAACGTGAATGCTTCTGCTTCCGCATACGCTGTCTCCGCGTTAGTTATCTACATTTCTTTGGACACACAAAAAGGTTGCTGGTCGAGGTTCGAGGATTTTTCCTATCGAGTATTCAGGCAGTTGTTGTTAAGCGAATTTCGTTGTTCTGTGCCGATTTGTGCATTCCAATATAGTTGGGAGTTTTATCGAAATTCACTTTTGAATGTGATTTATGTATTGGTGTGACTATAATCACAGTTCACGACTTATGTCGGATTCTAAAGCAATTGATCTGTAAGTAATCTTTTCTGGCCCACGTGGTTCTTATTCTAACTATTATTTCCTTAATCTACAGGATGCTCATATTATAGCCAATAGGATAGTTCTAACGAACCACTGAAATATATATCTATGTACATTTAGATATTTATCCCAGATACCAGATTGGACTACAATTGAAGCCGCCCTATATCCTTGAGTAAGTTTTTTACCCTACTTTCAACAATTTAAACCTTTTGTGTGAGCCTTAGGTGTGGTAATCTCAAAAAAAAAGAAAAGACATTTATTATTCGTGCTATTTTAGGGCTTCGTGAATTTACCTATTCGTTCGTTCGAACCTATTCTTCCACCTTTATACTGGCTGTCTCGCATTTGGGGCTTGTTATTGAACGTCGGATTGTTATCCTCCGATTTGGTTGACGTCGCTTATATAGGACAAGTGGATCCAACTAGGAAAGAAGCATTCGCCTCTCCAGGAATATTGTAAGATCAGCAATTTGTCATTGCCATTGCAAAAGGTCAGATTTTTCCGTTATTATTATTCTTTTTTTTATTGTGACTTTGATTATCAAGTTTGCTACGGAAAGTCTATTGGAGCAAATTCAAAAATTTAATTGCTAAGTTTATTTTAACATCTATGCAACTGAGTACAACATATATTATAATAGTTTTTTTTTAATGTGTTTAAATATAAATTTCCTTATTTTTATGTCATAGTAATAAGATTGTTGGTCTGTATTTCAAATAAGTTTGGCGATATTTATGTGCATTTATATTTATTTTTTTTTTACGCCATTTCTTGAATTAAGTGATATGTATTTATGTGATTAAAATATTTGATTGTACGCCTTACGTGATCACGATTGGCACGCCCGAAATTCTAAAGATAGTACTTAAATTTAACTATCTTTAAAGTAGCCGTAAATATAACTATCTGTCCACATACATATTTATTTAAATTATCTATTTCTTTCTTCTAATAAAAATTCTTCTATATCGGAAGATTTTCATATGGTATTTAATTTTTTTTTGTTGTGTTTACCATCACTTTACTATAACATTTTAACTTTAATTGCAAAAAAAGAGTCGTAGTTTGGAAAACCGGTCAATCTGGGAACCTCCTAGCAGGGTTGCGTTTTATTGCTAGTGGCGCCCTAGATTTTTGATATCTGTAATTAAAATATTTTACTGAACCTACACCCTTCAGGCTGAGTGATTTGTCGGCACCTTTGTTACGCACTTACGCTTCCAAACTACCTCTACGTTTTTTTTTTAATTTATTTATTTTTCCCCTTTTCTCTTTTTTTCATATATGTGTATATATTTTGTACAAATAATTTTTTAAACAAAAAAAAAAGTATAACCAAGCGTAGCAAAAATTGGCGCCCAACGTGGGGCCCCCGAAGAAAAGAAAACTTAGCCAAATATTTAAATATTATTAAATATAAACGTAATTATTAATTTTTATATTACAGTATAAATCATTTTTGCTTCTTCCTTGTTGGATCGTACTATTTCGATCATTCTGTTGAAATTCGACGTACAGATAGGACAGTTAAGTATTATTAATTATTAGGGTCTTTTCTAACTTTTATTTATTCATTTTGTTTTCGTTTTTGTACTGCTCTAGTAATAAGGGATTAGGGTTGTTTACATTTAGTCATAATAATTTTATTGCATTTTATCTGGACATTCCATTTGGATTGTTGATTAGATTTTCTTAGGTATTTTTTTTTCTTCTTTTTTGTCTTATTTAATTTAACATGTCACCCCCACAATTCGAGGTTAATAGACTTAATTCTGAAGAACTTACTTATGAATTAGCGGTACGCGGCGTTACTGATGTATCGACGGTTGATTTAATGCGAAAGACTTTGCGGAATTTATTAAAGTTGGAACGTGAAGGTTGTTCTATTGATTATCCAACATATCCTTTCAGTTTTGCACAAGATAGTACTGCATTAGGGGAGAAGATATCTGAAATTCAAGATCTAATTCAAAACTTTGATGGTGCTAATGACGCGATTCATAAAAAAATATTTTCTAAATACGCTTTTGCATTGGGGCGAATAAATCGTAGCAAACCTGTTTCGGACGACGATCAGAAAATACGGTCTAAATTAATAGTTACAATTTTAGAATTGAAATCAACTCTTGAAAAGAAAGTTAAAACTTATGAGCGTAGTTTAGCTAATCAAACCTTGGGTATTCCTGATTTAGATTTAGTAGATGTTTCGGATAGCGATAGTGATTCTGATCCTGGTGTAATGCATTCAACCCCTGTAGCTACTCTTTCAACTCACGCGCCTAGGTTACATTATGAGCCAGTTTCGAAATGGAATATTAAATTTTCTGGTGAAAGTAAAATAGATAATTTTTCTTTAAGTGCTTTTCTCGAACGAGTTGAGGAAACACGTATAGCCCGTAATGTTACGGAGCAAGATCTATTCAATTCAGCGATAGATTTGTTTTCTGGCAAAGCACTTATTTGGTATCGTTCTATACGAAAAACTGTTCGCGATTGGCCATCGTTAGTAACTTTGCTTCGGGAAGAATTTCAACCACCGGATTATAATGATAAATTATTCGATGAAATTAAAAAGAGAACGCAAGGTCCCAATGAATCAATTGGACTGTATTTGGCTGTTATGAATGGTTTATTTGAAAGGCTCACTATCAAAATACCAGAAGCGACGCGACTTAAAATCTTGCGAAATAATATTGCTCCTTTTTATCAGACCCAACTAGCTCTTACTTTAGATGGAATCAGTACCACCGAGGAACTACTTAAATTAGGTAGGAAATTAGAAGCGCGGAAAACTGCGGTTGAAACTTTTAATCACCCACCGTCTAGAAAATCCAGTACTATGTTGGAACCAGATTTAGCTTACGTCGAAGCTGGATTTAATCAACCCTCCTCTTCTTTTAGTGTTGCCGCAAATGAAGTTTTATCTGAAAGGCCTATTATTTGTTACAATTGTCATAAGCCAGGTCATATATCTAGTAAATGTACAGATACACGTCGCCGATATTGCTATAGATGTAAAAAACCAAATTTTACGATAAGAACTTGTCCAAATTGTAATCATAATTCGGGAAACGTAACAAGGAGGCATTAAGTGGTCGGGTAGATGCCTCTACAGTAAATCCGACTTTACATTTTGAATCTTCTACAAAACCTATTATAGATTACATTCTTTCCCATGCCAAAAATGATGATAGACCATATTTGCGAGTTCACGTTTTCGGTCATCCTCTATTAGGTCTTCTGGATTCAGGTGCTACACGTACTATTGTAGGTCAACCCGGTTTTGATATTTTGAAAAATTTAGGTTTAAAATTAGATCGGAATTATTCTAGTAGTTGCGCAGTGGCCAACGGTCAAAGCTGTTCTGTTTTAGGCATTTTCCATACTCCTGTATCGTTAATGGAAAAAGTTCACGTTATAGATATTTTAGTAGTCCCTGAACTTAAACATACTCTAATTTTAGGCATTGATTTCTGGACTGTTATGGATATAGTTCCAGATCTTAAAAGAGATGTTTGGCATTTCGGTCCATTGTTGCCAACACCTCCTTTATGCAGTGTTCAAGCTAAAGATAATTTGACCCTTGTCCAGAGAAATATTTTAAATAATCTTCTTGAAGAAAAATTTAAATTAATGGGGAAAAGTTTAGGTTATAC